GCTCTGCTGCGAAGGTCGGCGGCAGGCCAGCGTCTCCAGCCGCCCAGGGAGGAACCGAGCACCTCCTGGGGGAAAGCTCTGAGGAGGCAGCAGCTGAATGCAGCAGCTGGGGATGGTGAGGGCGTTCTGGATAATGACCCCTGGGTGCTCCTGAAAGAACAAGAGGAACGTAAGAAATGTGTCATCTGTCAAGACCAAACCAAGACAGTCCTGCTTCTGCCCTGCAGGCACCTGTGCCTGTGTCAGGAGTGCACAGAAGTCCTCCTGCAGCAGGCCATCTATCAGCGCAACTGCCCGCTGTGCCGCCAGATGATCCTCCAGACGCTCAATGTGTACTTGTGAACCCAAGGGGCGGGTGGCTTGGGTCATTTTCCCAGGAGGTCAAGGGCACCCCTGTCTCTGCCTCTTGCCGGGAAGCAGAACTTCCCAGGGCTGCCTTGAGCAGCTTCCAAAGAACTAAGGATGGTGCTGAAAGGGCAAAAGGCTGTCGGGTGTGTCTGCTAGCCATATTTGCTACATAACTAGATTGTAGCTCTTGCTAGCAAGCACAATAACTGATCTCTGCAGCCGGCTGAGAGAGTTACCTTTTTTTTGTTTACAACTTTTGCTTCAGGGCCTGTTGCCTCAAGCCTGCAGCAGTCAGATCCAAAGCAGAGCACAGAACGATACACTGGTTCCTCCTAGCCAAAGCTGATGGAAAGGTTAAAGGTTATGTTCTCCTGGAAATCACAGGGGCTAATGCAAGGTAAGGGAGGGTTTTTCCCAAGGTCTGACCAGAAAACTACCTGGCAGACTGCATTCACACCTCTGTTTCCTCCTCCCACCATCTAAGTGGGGCAGCTCCCTGGGAATGGGGAAGTGTAAGGCCCTAGGAGAGCAATGAGCACTCGAGCTTTTTAAGGTTTGCTACCAAAGGGCTGAGCCTGGCTTTCAGCTGGAGAAGAGCAGGGTTTCTGGGGTACTTCAGTATCCCAGCCACTGGGGCTTTGGTTTTTGAGCTTCCTGTTCCCCTTGCTAGGACAATGAGGAGCCGTGATGAATGCAGGCTCCCTGCAGGCTGGCTGACTGCAGAGCTCAGTGTCGCTGCTGCTTCCACGCATCACCTATGCAAGACTAGCAAGCACACATCAGGTTACTCACATGGAGAGGCTGGAGGGAGTTAACTCTTTCTGCAGGGACTGTGGTGCTGCCTGGGGAACCTGAAGGGTGGCTCACAGCCCTGGCAGCAGCAGCACACATTTGAGCCAATGCTGGAGAATCCCCTCTAGATAATACACATTTTCTTCCGGCTCAGAGTGCCATGGAACTGTGTGGTTCACACCAGTGCTTGCTTACTGCTTCCCAGGCTGGGCTGGCTAGAGGGAGTAACTCTTTGGGAGGAGAGAGGACATCCCAAAGCTCCTGGGAGCCCACTGAGACATTCCAGCTCCAGGCACAAGTTCTGCATATCCATGCTGCAGATCTGCAGTTGTGTGCATGGAGCAGTATCAGAACATGGCTATCTTTGATTAGGGCAGGGTTACATTGCTGTTCTATCTTACTGTCTGTCAGAAATGTAGCTAGTTTTATTTAAAAGTGTCCCCTGAAGTCTAACGAGGGCATCTGATCCTGGCTGGGGAGGCCTGAGATGGCTCATCCCAGCTTGCTCAACCAGCACCGTTCAAAGAAATTGCTGGACTGCAAGAGGGCCTTGCGCTAAAAAGCTTTTCCTTTTCCAGCTGCTTGCCTGGGGTCAGCCACGTGCCACAGCCAATTTTGGCTGGAGCCAGACTGGAAAGAGTCTTGACTCCTGGACTGCAAGTCAAGAGTCTGAGTGTGGCTGGCATGGTCCTCCTTTTCTATCCTCCTTCTTGATTAGTGATTTAAGCCAAAACAGAGGCAGGAGACAGGCCAGGCCATGCTGGGAGACACCTCTGCGCTGTAAACCTGAGCTGTGGCAAGATACTATCTTCTTGGAGTGTGGCTCTGCTCTGGGAGGCACTGCAGCGGCTGGTTGCCCCTGCATTCTCTGGGGCTGGAGGAACTCCCTGGCCAAGCTGGGCTCCTGAGCCCTAGTGGGTGTTGGAAGGGCCTGGCCCCAGGGCTGTCAGCTGCTTCCACCTCGCTTCACAGAGATGCAAAGCTCCCTGCCCAAGCCCTTTTGCTCAGCCTCTTGTCCCTATGCCTCCCCAGACACACCACCCATGTTAATATTTGCTCTTCCCAGCCACCTCTCCTGCGGCTGCAGCAGTGACACTTGCAGTTGAGTAGCCAAGCCCTTGCCAGAGCGGTGAGCGTGGCCCTGCAGGCTGTGTTCCCCAGGGTCCAGCTTGTCCCAGGCACGTGCAGAGCTCCTCCTGCAAGAGGAGACAGGGAGCTGCACCCTTCCCTGGGTGTGCCTCCGGAGACACCCAGGAGTGGGAGTGTGGCCATAGGTAGTGGTGTTTGGTCAGGACCAGCTCATGGATCTTGGGGTGCAATGTTTCCTACATGAATTGCAGGGAGGAAGGACACCTCCCCAGGACTGCAGTTTCTCCCCTCGAACCCTTTTTCTATTATAGCAGTCACGCTTATTGTTTTAGGGCCTGTTTGTTTGCTGCCTGTTTATAAAAAAAGAGAAAGCTTTGCCTTAAGTTTAACTCTTTGCACTATGGACTAGATACTGAGCAGATTAAAGTCTCCTTTACCAAAAGCTGCCTGCTGCCTCATTCTTGGGAAGGGTTTTCTCTGGGGGGATGCGGTCTCCTCTCTGCTCGCCCCTGGGCTCCAGAGGAAGCCCATCACTCCCCACCAAGGGTCAGAGCTGGAGAGCCAACACCACTAGCAAGCTCAGGGGTACTTGTCTGGGGGTGCTTGCACCCAGAAAGGCAGTGCTGTGGGATACCCTGGAGCCAGGCTGCTGCACAGGAAAAGCCGGGCACCCAAGAGATGAATCTACACCTGGAGACATGGTGGGTGGGCTTTCCAGGGCTGGCATCCCCCAGCCCCTGCTCTGCTAACCCACAGCAAGAGGAGGTGGTTGTGGACTTGCCTGTGCAAGGGGACAGAGAGTGCAGCCTGCAAGGCACTAGTGCTAATGTCTGCATCTTGCCTGGAGGTATGTTTGGTGCTGCAGCCTCTTCTGGGCCCAGGACCAGGCAGAGCAGCTGGGGTAGCTCTTGCTGGTATGGTCCCAGGACTGGTGGGCCTCTTCTCTCCACTCCTAATTCAGGTCACTTTGAGCTGTTTAGTGAGGAGACAAGCAATGGCTGCTTTGCGGACAGGTTTGTACACGCAGCTTCGTCTCTTTTCAGGAGTAGTTCCTCTCTGTACTGGAGCAAAGGGATTTGTGCTCAGATTCTCCAGAGCTGGAGCTCCGCAGGGCCTGAGCAGCCCAAAATGAAGAGGCTGAGATTTCCTAGGCTGGCAGGAGCATGTACAGGGATGTGTAATCCCTGCTCCCGCGTGTCCTTGGCACCTCGATGTCCTGCTGCTTGCGATGGAGGGTGTTGGCAAGCCTGATTGTCCCAGGGATGGAGGCAGCACCCGAAGCACTAGGAGTTGTGGAGCAGCAGGCAGCACAGGGCTCAGTCTTGGCTCACAGAAAGGCTGTGGCAGTTCAGTCGCGCTGGGCTACTGGTGAGCAGATGCATTCACTGCACAATGAGTTACTCCCTGGCCACAATCTGAGCTCTTGGCAGGTTGCTGTGTGCTTTTAAGTACCCTCTGCTTCTCCAGCCTCCTTGCAAATTGTTTGGAAAAATGTTTCGGGACCCTGATGGGCAGAGACCCCAGGAGTTCTGGCTCACCCTGCCCTGAATTCACCTACCTTGGCAGGGTCATGCCAGCAAGCTAGCTAATTTTAACCAGGATCCTCTCATGCCCTGGCTGAAAACCACAGTGGGGAGAGGGGGGCTGCTGGGAGGCCAGAAAGAGATGGACATCTGCTGCAGGAGCACAGCTCTGTCAGGCATGGGAAGGAAGGCCATGCTGGCAGCCCACCCAAGCCCTGCAGGGCCCACACAAGTGGGGAAACTGAGGCACTGCTCCGCCTTCCTATCTTGAGCCAAGGCAGGCTGGGCACCCAGGGAGGCTGCAGAGCTGCCCCGGGGCAGGAGGACTGGGCCAGCAGGGGAACATCTGCCATCCCCTGCACAAGCAGGGTGCTCCCAGTCCAGCACCCCCTCAGCCAGCCCCAGCGGGGGACAGAGAGGGTGTTCAGCTGCCTCAGCCCGCTGCGGCCAAGCCTGCCAAGCGAGGACAGGATGTGAAGGACACAGCCTTCCCCCAGGAGCCATCCTGCACGCACTTGGCTCGCTTGCTGGCCAAGCAGCAAGCAATTACAGGAGGAAAATGCAACCACCTCCTGGCTGATGGGCAGCACATAGGGTCCCCGAGACTGACGGTCAGCCATGCCTACTCTGACACTGTGGCTTTTGGTGCATGGCTGCACTGTCTGGGGAGGGTGTCCAGCAGCAGCAATGCTCACAGACCAGTCCAGGGCATGAGATCTGGAGTCCCTGGGGGTACTCCCTGCTCCAGAGCTTGTTTGGGAGCCTCACGCATGAGCCAAGTGGGCTGGTCTCAGACCATCACAATGCCAAGACCCTTCTCCCTTCCCCAAGGAGAGAGCACGATTCTGCTAGGTTACTTCAGTTTAGGAGCACTGGGGTGGTGGGGGCTGACAGCTTGCTGAAACCCGGCCCCCCCCAGGCCCTGGAAAAATCCCTGGGATTCCTTTGTCAGCCCAGCTGCAACACCCCAGCCCTAATGAGCCACTAGTCCCAGCCAACAGCCATCATCTGCCTGACAGCAGGGAGCTGGCACGACAGTCAGCGCTGCAGATGTGCAGCAGCATGAGCAGCTAATGATACCAGGCCAACAGGGAGGGAGCAGGTGATGATGATTGGCAGCTAAATCATGCAGGGCCTTTGGGCTGCTGCTGGGCACCAGCTTTGCTCTCTCATTAGCAGTTTGGCACAGGGAGCCACACCGGCTCCCTGAACACAGCGGCAATCCCAGCGCCTCGGAGCCACAGTGCCGAGGCCTCAGCGACACAGAGTGGCTGAGGCTGGCAGGGACCTCGAGATCATCCAGTCCAGCCCCCTGCTCAGGCAGAGGCAGCTAGTGCAGGTTGCACAGGACTGTAGCCAGTCAGGTTCTGAATATGTCCATGGATGGAGACTCTACTACCTCTCTGAGCAGCCTGTGCCAGGGTTTGATCACCCTCACAGCAGAAGATGGCCAGCCCTTTGCTGGACTCTCTGCAGTATGTCCATGTCTTGTACTGGGGAGTCCAGCACTGGACCTAGCACTGCAGCTGTACCTGACCAGTGCTCAGCGGAGGGGAAGGATCATCTCCCTCCAGCTGCTGGCAATGTTTC